AGCAGAGATTAGAAATAAACCGGATTTTAACAATGCAAGAGTAAATAGATGGGCGGAAAAGATACAGGAGTTTGGTTTCGAGATTAGCTATATGAGGCCGGAAGAACTGATTGTTGCTGACTGTTTAAGTAGAATTTATACGACAGAGGCCGTAGAAAAGAAAAAGAAGATGATAAACGCCAGGAAGGAGAAACAAACAAGTCAAAGAAGTGAACGGAAAAAAGTTTTGGGTATTTGATAAAGGAAGAGAAGATGAGATGTCTCCGGGTGAGGAGGGGGAAAAATTAATATATGATTGTCATGTGAACTTGAGCCACAGATGTAGAAAAACGGTGTATTACGAGCCTAGAAAAAGATACTATTGGTCGGAAATTAAGGACCAGATTTATGAAGTTATTAAAAGATGTGAAACTTGTCAAAAATACAATAGAAAGACAGGTAGAGGTAGTGAATTTATAAGTACTACGAGATATTTAGAAAAAATTGGCATGTATATGATTGAGTTTAGAATGAAAAGAAAGCGGTAGTTGTTGCGGTGGATTATTTCACGAGAAGGTTGTGGGGTAAAGTATTAGATAATAAACAAGCTGTCGGAATAGCTTGAATTTTAAGAGAATTATGCACGCAAGGAAAGAAACCAGAGGAGATTGTAATTGATAACGGACTAGAATTTTGTAATGTGGAGATGAGAGAACTATGCAGACAACTAAATATAAATCATCAAAAGTAGGCATAGAGTCACATAAGAACAATGGAAGGATAGAAAGAATTATAAGAACGTTAAGAGAAGATATTTAAAGAGTAAAAAGGGTCTATTTGCTGAGAAAGTTTATGAAGCCATTGAAAAATATAATTGTAGTTACCATGTGGGTATTACATGTACGCCAATAGAGGCAGTTAAAGATAAAACGGGAACTGTTATGATAGAGAATAACCCGGAAGGAAGTTATGCAAGTAGATTTAAGAAGTGGTCTAGAGAGAAATCTGTAAAGAATCAAAAAATAAGAGTAGCAAAGAATGAGAATCTTAAAGGATGCGATAAATATAGCCGAGGAAAATTTTTAGACCCAGGGGTTATAGTAGGAGTGGGTCTAAAGGATTCATATATTGTCGGGTTAGATAATGGAAGATACGTGAAGAAAAGATACTATTATTTAAAGGGATTGGGTACGAAAGAACTGTTGAGAGCAGGAGACTAACAGCCTGGAGCGGGAATGTTATAATTTATTATTTTATTAAACCCCAATTATGTTAAACACCAATATAAAATTAAAATTTTAAAAAAAATCTATTGTCTTAGTATTTTCCAAAAAAAATGCTTCGTTATATTTAAAACATAAAATATTTTCTTCTAGCTGATCCATAATAAAGGTTAAAAAATAATTCTTTTTTACCTTTACTCCATCTTTTCTCCCCCTCCGAATAACTACGTTCACTTTAAAAAATTTTGTACGTAGTTATTCGGGGGGAGGGGCGGAAAGATGGTGGTGCGCCGGATATGTTATCTCGAGTTTCAAATGTCAATTTTTATTTAGATAATTCTAAGTTTACAGAGTATATTTTTTCAGTTTATAGGAGTGAAATTTATAGGAATATGTCTTTTCCCGAAGGGTAAGTACCAAACTTGTAATATTTTGTGATAAAACTATTTATTATATAACGATGTCTAAAGTCAGATAGCTTTTCAATAATCTTCTTAGTTTCTTCACACATAATTTTTAAATTATTTTTCTTTAAATAATAATTTCTAAAACATTGTTTCATTCCAAAACACTGTTTCAGACCATCGGTTTTGTTTTGGAAATCCCAAAACAATTATTTGTCATGTTTGTGGCATGACAGGTATCCACCACATTTTTTAAAAATTTACCTCCAAAAATTTTAATAAATTTTGGTTTAAATAAAAAATAAATAAAGAAGGGATACAAATTTAGAGATGAACCACAAAAAAGCTCAGCACGACCAAAAGCATAACAACGATATTTATGACACAAAGATGCCCGATAAAGCTGATAAAAATAAAATATTAAATAATAAAAGATTATTTTTTTGTTCTTACATAGAACAACACTTAAGGTTTGAACGTTTTACTAGAAGTTACAACAAAAAGATTTTTGCTTTTTGTGTGTTACAAAGAATATCTCGATGTAAATCCTGTTTTACTTGACGGTCCGGGTATAATAGTTGAGGTAGATAAAAGTTTATTGTCTTGACGAGAAAGCTAGGGAATCCTATCAGTACTGACGACACCAGAGATACGATATAAATTGAGGAGGATTAAACGGGGCAAACGAGCGCAACTTTTTTTAATTTGTGTTTTAGACAGAACTATTGTATCGCTAACAAATGCATTGTCTTCGTTTATAATAAACGATAGCGTATTATATACTGATGGCCAGCCCTCAATATTCGAGCGTATCAAGAAATTTAAATTTAAGACGCAATATTTCTAATCATTCTGTTGGGTTTAGAGCCATTGATGGCATCCATAGCAATGATATAGAAGGATTTTGAGGCCACATGAAAGCAACGATGAGGAAAGAAAATGGTGTTCATAGAGACAACATTGATGAGTGGCCAACCCGATATACATTTAAGCGTAGATATATATTAGGAAAAAGTATTGAGGGGTGGCAGATATTTATGTTGTAATTTTAATGCTCTTTTTTAAACTAAATCATTAAATTATTTATTTTTCCGCCTTATTAAAAAAATTTTAGGTGGGCAAACTTGTAAAGAAGACCCAAGCCTGTACAAGAAGTACGAATAATTGAAGATATAAAATCACTCGACGTTATTAATTGGTGTTAAAAGTTTGAAGAAATTGCTTTAAATAATAAATGGATAGAAAAAATAAAATTGGCTATTCTTAAAACTTCCCTGATTTAAGATAATGCTATAAAAGAAGATTGGATAGCAAATACGTGAAAAGAAGTAAAAGAATAGCTAATATTAAAAGTTTTTTTTGTAAAGAAGAGGAAAGCCTGTATAGGAAATTATCAAATTGTATTTACTAAACAGATTTTAAATTAATATCTGAGTACTCTGAAGAAATTGAACTTTTAGTAATATACTTGCGATAATGAATAAAATGAATGAAACTAAAAAGAAAAATGTTTCTCAATTGCATTTTATCAACACCTAGAAAGTGTGTATATGTCAGGTGAAGTTATGAAGATGCATTACAACAATGTAGTGGCTTGTTATAAATATTTTTTCAAACTCGAAAAAAGAATTGTTATACGAGAAAAAGAGTTAAAAGAAGGAAAAAAAAATTTTAAAAACTATTCGTAAATAAGGAATATGATAGTATACCAAATAAAGAAGAATGATATTTTAAACTGAACAGAATTGGAGATCGTACGATTGAACAATGGCCAACATACGGCGAGGATTTTTATAAAAAGAAATTACAAAAGAAAAGAAAATAAAAAAGCGAACAAAACTATTTATTAAAACAAGGTGTATATCATCCTTCAATAACGTCGATACTAGGAAAAATAAATAAACGAAAAGTTGAATTGAGAATCGATAATGGGGCTACTAGAAGCTTTATAAGAAAAGAATTAGCAGAAAAAGGAAAATTGCCGTTAATAAAAACGGAGAGGGTTTAAATAATTTTTGGTAACGGGACAACCGTAGAAACAAATGTTTTAGTAGAAGTGGAATCGAAAATAGAAGAAGTAAAACTAAAATAAAAAAAACCCTTTATGTTTTAACGAAATGTCAGAAAATATTCCTTTGGGATGTAACTTTTTGTCCAATAATGAAATTTTGTTGGACTATAAGAACAAAGCCATATTTATAGGCAACGATATAGTTGCAATGCAAAACGAAACAAAAAACGTAAAAGATAATATGGATAAGCTTTTGTTTGAGAGAGTAATAGTAATAGAACAGAGAGAACTATTTAACGAAGAATAATAAAATAATACATTAATAAAAATAGAAACACTGTTTATTACTCACACCTATTGTCATTACTATTAGCCCCCAAAGATAATGGTTTGATAAAAGGGGATCAAATTTCTTATTTAACATTATTTATTTAATAAAAGTTCTTTATATAGTTTTGGCTTCGCTCCGAAGCCTGTTGTGTTTCGGGGGTTAATTTCATATCCTTATGTTTTACTTTGAGGCGAATTATTTGGACATTTACAGTCACTGGTGACAACCTTCCCCCTTCATTTAAGGCATGTCTATTTACTAAAACCAATTCGATATTAGATTCACCTTCATTTTCCTTGAACACTAGAAAATCTTTTCGACTTATTTGCTGAGTTACACCGATCTCAATTGATTGCATCTCGTAAGCTTCTTTCAACTTATTTTTAATTACAATATAAGGACCAATAAATTTTTTATCCAACTTGTTTTCTGGTTTTCTATTTTTAATAAAAACCAACGTTCCCTCTTCTGCCTTGTCAAGGATCCAACCTTTTATTGTTTGACTTTCCAATATTATCCCCATGTCTACGATTGAATTCTAAAGACATTGACTCACCACTTTCTAACATTAATCTTCTTTGTTCAAGATAATCTAAAGGAATTTCAAAATATAATATAAAGTCGCTTGGAAATCTTTTAATAAATCTAGGCATCATAGCCTTACTTCCATATAACATTTCAAATAGTAAAATTTTGTATTTACCAATCGATGAAATTCTATACATCATTAAAACATATAACAAGACTCTATCCCGGTTTTCTTTATATTCAGCTACATACTTGCTCATCTTTACCATTATTGACTGGTTGGTTCTTTATACCAATCCATTCGTTTCCGGATGGTAAGGACTTGAATGTTTTAATTTACATTCAAATAGCTCCGAAGTGAGCTTTACCAACTTGTTAGTAAACTCTAGTCCCCGATCACTTCTGATGACTTTTACAGGCCAGGTCCAAATCTGAAAAACACATATTTAACCAAGAACTTGGATATCTCATGAGCCGACTTGTGTTTTATGGCTTTCGCTTCCACCCATTTTGTCATATAGTCCGTTGCTATAACGATAAACTTTTTTCCTGATCCACACCTTGGTAGGGGTCCGATGCAGTCGATCTCGATCGTATGGAACGATGGGCAAGCACTGTTGGAATGATTTTAAATTATTAATTTCTTTTCTTATGTTTTAAGCATATTTTGCATCTTTTTACTGTATCCAGACAGGCTTGTTTGGTTATTTTTAAGTCTGGATTTTGTGACTGAAGGAATAAGTATGTACTTTCTGATCTCCCGTGTACGATGAAATGATGGGCTTCCCGTATAATGTCTGCTTCTCCGACAGCATTATTGTTCTTGATTGTTTTTAGGATCAATCCGGAAAATATGTCCGCCTGTTAGTTATTAACTCCTTTGCTATACTCAATTTTAAATACTAGATCACTCAAATACATGATCCACCCCGCAATTCGTCCCTGTGGATCTTTAACTTTATATAACACACCAATAGTTTGTTATCTGTCTTTATTATAAACTCTTTATGTAAGTAATTTTTAACCTTTTTTGTTGCAAATATTATCGCCAGCGTTTTCTTTTTAATCGTGGAGTAATTCAATTCGTGCTTATTCAAATCTCTAGAACAGCATCTGATTGTTATTTCCTTACTTTCCCTTTTTTGTTTTAGGACTCCACCTAAACAATAATTTAAGGCGTCTGCCTCTACTATAATGGGTTGACTCATGTCTGGGATCACTAACCACGGGCTGGATATCAACTCTTTTCTAATATCTTCTAGTCTTTCATTTATTCTGTCATCGATTTTCGCTTTTTCGTCGACACCTCTATGCAAGGGTAAAACTTTATCTGCAAAATTTTTTATAAATCCTCTATAGTATCCGAATAATCCCAAGATTGACTAAAGTTCTTTTGTGGTTCTTACCACGACTTCACTCTCAAGGTCACCCAATCTATCCTTCTCCGGATAGACCTTTCCTTTTTCTACTGTGTATCCAGCAGGTTAATGGTCTCTTGACAGAAACAGCTTTTTCCATATTCAGCTTTAGTCCGTTTTTTTCAGGTGCATTTAATACTTTTTTTTTAAAATCATCTATGTGAGATATTCTATTCTTCGAGTAGACTGTGATACCATCCAAATATACAATCACATTTCTATTTATTTAAGTTCTAAAGGTTCTACACATTAAACACTGGAATGTTGAAGGCGCATTTGTTTATCTGAACGGTATCTTTTTGAACTAAAATTTACCCAAAGGGCCCATGAATGCCGTGTATTCCTTTAAGTCCTTTTCTATAGGAATCTGGTGGTAGCAATTTAAAGTGTAGCTAGGGAAAAAACTAGCATCGCCCAATGCATTGATGCATTCTTCAATCAGGGGTGGCTCGCAAACCTCTTTTATGATTCTGGCTAAAAAAGGCTTTACTGGGCAGATTTTACAGGAGGCAAAAAAAAAATATTTTTAGCCCTTTTTTAAAAACGAGAAGAATTATGATGACAAACGAAGAAATACAAAATTTGTATTTTCAAGTAAAATCGTTAAAACAAAAGCAAAAAGTTTTTGTTGTTCATCTGACACTCGAATAGAATGCCCGGTGGCTCTTTTTTTGCGATGCAAATGGAAAAGATGTAGATTGTTATTTACTATCTGGAAAAACTCTTTTTTCGAACACGCACATCTTGACAATATTTTATTGCTTGAAATAATTAATTTATGGTTCACAGGGGCTTCTTATGGTCTAATGGCGCACATATTAGGCTGCAGTAAACAAAATATAGTCAATACAATAAATAAACTGCAGATCTTTAATATTTATGAGCGATATCTTAAAGACGTAAAACAAGTTGGAGGAAACAATATTGTTGTAGAAATCGATGAATCAAAAATAGGAAAGAATAAATATAACAGGGGAAAGCCTGTAAAAGGGTTTGGTGTTTTGGAATGGTAGAACGTACCACCGATAAAAAAATGATTTTCGTTCTTATTAAAAAGTGTGACAAGCAGACCTTATTCCTTTATTATTTAAACACGTTAATATTGAATCCACAATATACTCAGATATGTGGAAAGCTTATTTTAACTTGGGATTGCATTTTAAAAGATACAACATGATAAATCATTCAGTAACTTTTAGAGATCAAAAAACAAGTGTTCATACTAACACAATAGAAGGAAACTGGCGTTCATTAAAAGCCTCTATATCTAATAGGTGCAGGACAGAAAAACTTGCTCCTTTATTTCTTTTTAGATATATGATTATTAGAAATGAAACTCCATTACCACTAAAGTTTTAAATAAAATATTAATAAAGTTATGTTTGTAATTTTTTTTAAATTTATGTCTTCTTACAAGTTATCTTCAGCAATAAAAATTTAAAAAGAAGGGCTAAAAATATTTTTTTTGCCCCGGTAAAATCTGCTTAGTAAAGCTATCTTTAGCCGGTTCTTGAATTAAGCTGGAAATTTAATAATATAGTAGACAAATTCGAAATGATAATATCAATTATTAAATTAAAATTTTAATTTCAATTTTTTCAAAAAAAATAGATTTTACTCCATTCAAAAAACTTTTTATACCCGGTGAGCATAAAAATGCCACTGATCCATGCCAGCCATACGCTGTTACAAATACACCAGACTACATGATACTGGAAAAAAATATTTGCGAACATTCCAACCTATTTATTAGGTGTATTAAACAATACCGGGGGGTGTGTGCAAAAGCCACACGTAGAGTTATCGTCGCTTTACAGCAGCGGAATGATGAATTAGCTAACGAAGTAATAAAGAGGTTTGATTCGAATTTTACTACGGAAATGGATGCGTGTAAAGTGGGAACCCGCAAAATCATTACTACTAGTGAAAATCCAATTTTCCAGAGGACTTGAAGGATTCTTGGACAATTGGGAAAGGCCATACGGGAATAAATATAGAAAAACTTAAAACTGGGAATTATAAAAAAGAGCTCTAGTCCGTAGTGTAGCAGAATTGTCCCAGCCACGAAAGCAAATGGTACGTTGAGAATTTGTATTAACTATAGACCATTAAACCAAATAATGGTGAAAGATAAGTATCCACCGCCCCAAATTGCTGAAATTATTGATCCACTCGCGGGGGCGACACTTTATACGACTTTAGATGCCACCTCGGGCTACTGGCAAATTAAATGAACAAAAATCACAGAGAGAAGACCGCTTTTCCATTTAACTGTGGTTTATACGAATTTAACAGAATGTCATTTGGTCTTACAAACCGCCTGCAACAGTCCAACGAGTAATGGGCGAGATTTTATCTGAAGAAAGGGGTAAATTCGTAATTCCATGTTTGGATTACCCGATAATGTTTTCTAGGTCGATAGAGAAACATAAAAACCACGTAGAATTATAAAGTGGAAGCTACAGGCGGCCGGAATCTCTCCAAATAAGGCAAAATACAATTTTTTTGTGAGGAATTAAAATATTAGGTACTGTTTTTGCAAAAGGCATCGTAAAACCAGATCCAATTAAAATAGATACTATTAAAAACTATCCGGAACCGAAGACCTTAAAAAGGTAAGGGCATTTTTTGGTGTTACAAATTATTGTCGTGAGTAAACAGCCGGGTATACTAAAATAATGAAGCCAATATTTGATCTGCTAAAAAGTGAACAGAAAACTATTCAGATGTGAAGAGAAGTTTTAGAGAAATTTAAGCCCCAATCCCAAAATATTCAGAAAACTCGGCCGAATTTTGAAATAATTTATATTAACGACAGATGCTTCCGATACTGAGATAGAAGCAATTCTAGCGTAAAAAGATAGTAGCGGAAAAGAACAAATGACAGCGGCATTCAGCAAAAACTTTGACCGGGCACAACAAAATTACTCAATAACAGATAAGGAATTGCTGGGAAAGTTAAAAGTATTGAGCATTTTAGACATTATTTCTTAGAAAAAGAATTTTTCTTGAAAACAAATAAAAATGCACTGGCTTATCTGTAGAAAGCTAAAAATCAAAATTCTAGAGTCCTTAGATACGCATCGAAGATGCAGGAATATACCTTCAGAGTGGAGAATATCAAAGGAAAAACTAATGTCGCAGACGGGATAAGCAGAATAAAAACAGTGGCTGCCATTAAAGAAAAAGGTAAGAATAATTTCCGATGAAGGCATGAGATCAGAGTTGATTAAAAAAAATCATGATGCTTCAGGCCATAGTTCGAAGTCGTATCTCAAATTCTTTTTCATTGCTAGTTATGAATGGCTAAATATGAACAATGACATAAAAAATTATGTAATAACTTGTATGGCGTGTGCTAAATCAAGAGGACCTTGGATAAATACGAAACATATAACTACAAAGTCCAATAATGGGATTCGGGAAGTAGATTTGATAGGAAGGATCACGACGAAGAATAAAAGTAAGTGCCTACTTGTGGGAATAGATCGTTTCACAAAACGGATCGAAACACGTGTTATCCCAGATAAGAGGGTGGGGACGATTTTAAAGCGTATCAGTGATCTAATACTAGACAAACATGGAACTCCTGTAAAAGTAATATCAGTTCGCGGGCGAGAATTTAGGAACAGAAAAGCAGAATTGTTGGCAGAAGAAAAAGGGATACAATGGGTTTCGCTTCGCCTGCGCGCCACCAAACAATTGGCTGCATAGAAAGAGCGAGCCAGACCTTATGGCATAAGATTAAGAAAATGACAAATTTTGGGAAACTGTGTTGGAAAATAACTGTTACGAGTGCTACAAATGCCGTGGATATGTCATTTAGTAGAGCGATCAAAACATCTCATTTTATTCTCAAAAACGGGTATCTTCCCGATGTTTTGAAAAGCGATATCAATAGCCCCGAGGGGGTTGGAGTCAATGAGAGAAGCTTAAAGAAGCTGGTGAAGCTATTTAAAAGCAAATACACGAGTCTTGTAGAAGCAGGCATGTTTCGGCGCCAAATGATTATTATATTGGTGATAAGATGTTAGTCTACAAAAATAGTCTTTCAAATAAACTTAATTCGATGTGGAACGATGGTTTTGTAATTGAAGAGGGATTGCCACCGTATGCATATATAATCAAATTTAGAACGTCAAGATTACAAGTTAACACGAGTCATTTAAAATTGGATAAGTCTATCTTTAGTTAGGGGGTTGTGTTATGCATGCACGTCAGTATCAGGCCATCTGATGTGAAAAAGTTAATACCAATAATATAAGCAATCACGTGCACCTTAACTCCGATCGGGGTTGACAATGAAACATCGTGTTTCATTGTAAAATATAAATACAAAGTTTTTATCAGAGGATGCGAGACGAAGAGATAAATAAACTGTTTACGTCTGACAAATATATATGTAAAAAATAGATATACTGCTTCTGTATCAATGTAATAAAGATATGCAATAAAAATTTTGATTAAAGAAAAAATAAGCGTATTATAAGTTGAAAAAAAATCAACTATGTAAAGCAAAATAAGAGATATTTTGAATTTTAAATTTACGTTTTCAACGGAATAGCGCAAGCTAGTAAAAAACAAAAAACAAAGATAAAATTAAACAAATTTATATTTATTTTTTATACCCTTACGGCGGAACTTTTAACC